GAAGCAGACACCCCGCTGAGCCCCAAGCCAACCATGGGGCTCAATCCCAGGACCCTGAGATCATGACCTGAGCTAAAAGCAGACGCTAAACCAATAAGCCACACAGAAGCCCCCAAAAATAAAATCTTCAAAAAAAGAATATAGGAAAATTACAATAAAGAAATGGAGAATATTACTCAGCTATAAAAAAAGAATGAAATCTTGCCATTTGCAACAACATGGGCAGAGCTAGAGAGTATAATGCTAAGTGAAACAGGTCAGTCAGAGAAAGACAAGTACCATATGATTTCACTTGTATGTGGAATTTAAGAAACAAAACAAAGGAGAAAAGGAGATAAATAAGAGAGAGAAGCAAAACAAGAAACAGACTCTTAAATACAGAGAACAAATGGATGGTTATCAGAAGGGAGGTGGGAGGGAGGATAGGGAAAATAGGTGATGGGGATTGAAAGGACACTTGTCATGAGTAGCACTGGGTAATGTATGGAATTGCTGCATCATTATAATGTACTCCTGAAATGCTCTATGTTAAATATACTGGAATTAAAAATTTTTTAAAAGAATATAGGAAAATCACAACAGTGTTAGCACAAGAAAATATTTATCTATAATTCTAAAGTTGGGGGAGGAAGGGAGTTGTTGAAAAAGGAATTCTATTAAAGAGAAGTAAAGTGTCAAAGAAAATACTGCTTCTGGGAAGCACTGATTATGAGCTAACGGGACACAACAGCATCCCTTCCATCAATCCAGTAAGTGTTTCTTCAGTGCCTACCTAGGGCCAGGCATTGTGCTGGACACCAGGTCATCACTGAGAGCAAAATGGATCAACCCCATCTTCTTAGTGATGCAATGATTCATTAGGATGCAGGATTTACTGTGCCATTTTTGTCTGCTTAAGAAGGACAGAACCATGAGATGCCCCACATTATCTCTTATAATACAGATGAGATTTTAAAAAATGTGGCAGTTCATTACAATGTATTCACTGCATTTCTTAGGGTTAACTTGAAATTAATCTTCCATTTTCTTCCCTTCAGGACTTTATTTTCAATATAATTAGAGCCTTCTATGGCAGAAATAATTTTTTCTTCATTATTTTATATTTTATAAATATCATTATAACAACAGAAGGGAATTTTAAAGAAAAAATAGATCACCACTAATATCACCATTATAATGCAACAGGTGGCTTCATTTTTTACTATCCTCTTTCAGTCTTTATCTATAAACTAACATATTTTATGTATTTATTACCAGAGTGAAAGTATAATTTTCTATTCTGCTTGTATTTTCCTAATTTTATATCTAAATATTTCCAAATTGCTTCATTTTTTAAATATTTCTCATGGTAGTTCAATAATTCATTTTGCTGAAATACCATTATTTACTTTTACTTTTTGCAACTTGTTATCATTCAATCGTGTCTAATACTTTTAGTCTTGAAAATACTACAGTGGGACGCCTTGATGGCACAGTTGGTTAAGGGTCCAATTCTTGTTCTCAGCTCAGGTCTTGATCTCAATGTCCTGAGTTCAAGCCCCACATTGGGCTCCATGCTGGGTGTGGAGCCTACTTAAAAAAAAAAAAAGAAGAAAAGAAAAGAAAATACTACAGTGACCATTGTGCATGTTTACTTTTTTTCTTCTTTTGAAATATTTTCTTGGGATATATTTATATGATGCAGCATAGCAATTCTGATAATTCTTTTTTTTAAAGATTTACCATTTATGCTAAATGGGTAATTTAAATCATTTTAAGATTTACTATTCCTAGGAATGAAAATAATTAAAAACTCAGCTGTTAGCTAAGATACAGTACAAAGTATTATTTATTGTGTAGTTTGTATTATTTCAGGAAGAAGCAAAATCTACATGTAATACCAAAAATGAATTTTATTAATTTTACCAAATTCTTATACAAGAGACTTTAATGATTTCCAAGTCAGACTAAGGACATTTCCTTTAAAAATGTAACAATGGTGACAATTCCTTTATACTCTATTATTAAACGACCCATCATCCCTGCCTCATTTTACTGAATCCTACAGTCCTGAAACTAAGCAAATTTAATGGAGGAACAGTATGTAAGGCACAGACATCATATTCAAAATTCTGTCAATATATATTAATGACTAAAATATAAAGAAGGATAAAAGGAAAATGGAAAAAAAGGTGAATAACACTGGAAGAATCTTAGCTTTAAAAAAAAACCCTACTGTGCTAACATCTGTACAAATCACGAGTAAGGGAGAGGACATGGACAAATGTGTCCTTTTCATATTCTTTTCTTCTGCAAGCAAAGGTCAAAGCTTCAAAGCTGGATTTGCAATGAAAGTTATTACAGGATGATTTTAATTGATTCTTGAACTTGCTTAACCTTATATCTATTAAATAGATGAATTTAAGAATTCACAGTATTATATACTAAAACATTTTAATAGAAACATAAACCATGTTCTGTTCATACATTAAATGTATCATTAATTTATATATAATTTATAATTATTTTTATATTGTGCCATATATTATTAATTTAATTTTGATGTTTTCATCATGGATAATTTTTAACATACATGAAAGTAAACACACTAGTATAAAAAACACCCCAGAGCCATAAACCACCTTCACAAACCATCCGCCCTATCCATAGACCACCCTCTTCCCCCACTCCTCTATTCTATTTTAATTAAGTCCTAATATCATATAATTGTATCAGTAAATAATTCAGAATGCATCTCTAAAGGTGCGGATTCTTTCTTTGACTATAACAAAAACACCTTAAAATTAGAAGTGATTCCTAAATAATATCAAATATTCAAAGTTCAAAGTTTCTCATAAATGTCACAATTCTTTTTTTAACTTCCCATAAACTAGTCACATATATCTCTTCTAAGTATTTCCAATAAATCCCTAGCTGGACTTAGGTGTTTCATAAATGTCAGGTTTTGGGGCCCATTCTTGCTTTCAGCTCAGGTCATGATCTCTGGGCCCTGAGATTGAGACCCCCCACCCTGCTCCTCCTGCCCCCCCAAGTGGGGCTCTGCGCTCAGTGGGGAGTCCGATTCCTCCTTCTCCCTCTCCCCCACCTCTAAAATAAATAAATCTTAAAAATAAATAAATAAATGTCAGGTTTTGGGATTTGTTTTGGCAAGACTACTTCATAGGTAGTATATCAATAAGACTTTTAAATATATAAATGTATTATGTGCATACTAATTAAGTTAAAGCCAGAAAAGAACATGATTGTCAGATAAGAGAGACAAGAAAAAAAATCATTTTGCTCTATTTCAGCACATTTTAGAAAATTAATTACCTTCTATATTCCTGCTATATTTCATGGCAACATTATTAAATTGACTTAAATAATTTTTTACCTTGTCTTTCCTGATTATTATAATCAATGGATTTTACCACAAAGAATTTAAGGCAACTTCAATATAGTTGGTCAATTTAAATTCAAAACATATTTCTAGAATAACTTATTATAATAAATGGCAAAGCAGAGTAAGATTAACTGAGGTCTATGTCAACAAAGTAGAAACAACCAGTGTTGTCAAATAAGTGACAAGGAAAGGAAAAAAGTGATGGAAGGGAACCTTATCTTTTAAGACAGAAAATCACAAGTGTATGACATATAGGAGAGTATGTGCTTTATAAATATTTGTTGAATGAACAGTTGGAATGAATGTACTATCCCAGAGCTGTGCTCAATAAACAACTCTGTCTCCTTCTGTGGGAAATGATAAGATGAATGATCAAAAATGATCACACCTCAAACTTTATTCATTCCAATCTCTTCCCTCATGGCTCAGGGGATAGAGAACCTCTCATCCTCCTCAGTTCTTCTGACTACTACTTACACAATTGCTTCCCTATCCTATCTCAACCAAGCTCTCTTTCCACAGTTTATTTTCCTTCTAATCCATTCCAGGCTTTCATTTTTTTAGAAAGAATGAAGCAAACTTCCATTTTGTCTCAGGTTTGTTTACTCCCAGAAGTGGACCCTGATTCAGAAATGGGATTGTGAGTAGTTTGTCCTGAGGTGACCCCGGGCAGGGGAGTTGAGAAGGGAAACAGGGAAGGCAAGAGGCAATGAGGGGTGTTTTAATGAGCAAGTTACTCACTGTGGAAACTGGGGCTGACTCCTGCAAGGGAGTTCTCGAAGACTGTGTGGAACTTGCTTCAAGGTCATACCAATGGAAACGCAATGAAGTTAGGGAATCTATTAAACAACTCCCATCTATGATCTTATTGGCTATTCCTTTTAGAAACGCTTGCCCTTCAATTTTCAAGAGAATATTCTCTAACTTAATCCCATATCTCACTAACTGTCCTTCAGCAAGGGCTGCATCTCTCTCTGGACACGCTCATCCTCTCTCTTCTCTACAATCATCACCTATCACCCATATCCTGGTGATACACACTTCTCACTATTTCCAAGCTGCAGACTCATCTTCCTCATTGCATGCTGACATCTCCACCTAAGTAGTTAGGCAGACTCCTGAGCCCCATAAGTTCAAAACAAAATTCACAGTCTTTTTCTTTTCAACACTTTTCATCACACTAGAAATAATTTTACAATAAAATAAAACAAAACAATTTCTCCTTTCTAATTCTCCATGCCATTTAGGACATCACCTTCCTCCTAGTAACTCAAAGGCGACCCCTCCCCATCATCTTTGCTTCTTTCTCCTCCTTCTTCTCCACATTGAATTTTTCACCCAGTTTATCTCTGTCATGTTTCTTCTATATTCCTATCACCACTACCATTGTTCAGACTCCAAAGTGCATTCTCAGCTCTGTAGTGATCTTTATTTACTTTCTCCAGATTGCAAATGATACTCCATACAACTGCCAGATGAATCTATATAAGAACGATAGATATGCCCATCCAGCGTAACCTTTCCTGCTCCATAATCATATTCACTGCGCCACACACATCCTACGTTATTTGCCATTCTCAAAAGAAGCAAAGTGCACCCTTGATTCAGTGCTTTGGCCCCCTTCTACCTGAAATAAACCTCCCTTCAAGGACTAGACCAAATTCTACTTTCTCTGTGTGTCCCTCATCTCTGTTCCCACATCCACCCCAAACCTCTGCAAAACAGATTGATTCCTCCCCTGTGCTCTCTCAGCACCTTATTCGTGATATAGAATATCAATCATTATATTATCTACTGTGATCATTGTACACAGTCCCCTGTTTCTGTTATGACATTTTCATTGTGTTTGAAAACCCAGAATACAATGCATTGCTTAGTACACAAGGTACTGTCAATACATGTCAGTGAATTAAGCAGAAAAACAAGCAACCTCCCATGTGTGATATCAGAATTATCTAGCCCAACAAATATTTGAATGGCTTCAGCATTTGAATGTCTGCATATCTGTTATAAATACCCACAGACATAGATATCATTATAGAAACAGACTGTGTACTAAGGGTAAGCATATACATGCACACACAATACATACAATGGCTGAAGCTCCTAAAAGTATAATATTGACATTAACAACCATTAAAAAAAAGTAGGCAAATGCCAAGAAGACAGCAACAACATCCAAAAATACTGACTTCCTGAATATACTGGCTGAGGGAAAAAAAATTAATATTAAGATTAGCCATGTTGGAAACTCATTCTAATGCAGGTACTAAATATAGTCAAGAATCAAGGACCTACAACACCCATCATAGGTAAAAACTGTACACTTCTTCATTCATACTGTAGGTAAACTGTATTCTTCATGTATCTGCTCATTTTTTTAAACGTTATTTTCCTTTAAGTTCATTTGGCATTAATCTAAAATCATGTCATTGACTGAAAATGTCAAATTTTGCTCCACAGGTGCAGAACATCACATTTTTTTTCCAGAGATTGACCTTGCTTCTGTATGCTAAGGAATTCCAACTCCTTGCTAAAGTAAATCTTCAGCTCTGGCTGAGTAATAGTCTATATGAATTGGATAGATTCCTGAATTAAATTTTCTTGTCTAGTTATATTTTGAGACTAAGGCTTACTTCTGCATTAAGCACAGAATCATTGTTGAATTAGGTAGATACTTGGATTTATTTTAAGCCTGAAACCTATAGCAATTCTCTTGGGCATCCCAGCTGGTACCATGAAAAATATATTTGAAGCTCCTGCTAAAAACAGCTTTGGAAATTTTTCTCTGGTTTTAAAATAAGAATTGCATAGCCCTATGTTGGTCACATATATGGAGGAGCAAACCCTTAGTTATCTACTCAAGATTTAAAGGCTAACAGAATAAAATACAATATCTAAAATATAAGAAAAGTAGGTGGGTATTTTTATAATGTTGACAAAAAAACCTTTTCTTTTTTTAATCTTTTATTTTTTTAATTTAATTTTATTATGTTATGTTAATCACCATACATTACATCATTAGTTTTTGATGTAGTGATCCATGATTCATTGTTTGTGCATAACGCCCAGTGCTCCATGCAATACATGCCCTCTTTAATACCCATCACTGGGTTAACCCATCCTCCCACCCCCTCCCCTCTAGAACCCTTAGTTTGTTTCTCAGAGTCCATAGTCTCTCATGAAAGAACCCTTTTCTTAATAACACATAAGAAAGGGACAAAGGTAAATAACTGAAAAGATTTGAGAACATAACAAAAATTAAATAACTAATAAAAAACAAGACAATTACTCCAACTTATTTTATGAAGCTATATTATCTTGATATTGAACATGGAAAATACAAGAAAAAATAATCCTAGATCTGTCTCACTTGTGAAGATAGAAGCAAAATAAAATACTAGCAAGCAGATTGCCACAATGAGCTAGTAGGGTTTATCCTAACATATGAGAAGAGAAAAGCTCATTTCAGTATATGCAGAGAAGTCATTTGACAAAACTTAACACCTATTTATGATTGTTCTAAAGCCCTTAATAAATCAGATCTAGAAGAGAACTTAACTTATTAAAGGAGTATCTTCTCCATATTTGAGACAGACATCATACTCAAGAGTAGAACATAAGAAGCAGCCCTTTAAGATCAGGGAAAATACTCAGCCCTTTAAGATCAGGGAAAATTTATTCAGTATTGTACCAGAGGCCCTAGGTGATCCAAGAAGATAAATGAATGAAAGAATTGAATGAATAATAAATTAAGTAATGATAAAAGTATTTGGAAAGAAAAATGTAATTATGTACATATTACATATTTATTACTTTTCTACATGGAAAATCCAAGAGAATCTTCAGAAAAATTATTAGAATGAAAAGGATAGTTGATGTCCTGGGGCGCCTGGGTGACTCAGTCATTTAAGCATCTGACTCTTGATTTCAGCTCAGATCAAGATCTCAGGGTCATGAGATAGAGCCACAGGCAGACTCCACACTGGGCAGGGAGCCTGCTTAAGATTCTCTCTCTCCCTCTCCCTCTGCTTCTCCCCTCACTGACACACATTCTCTCTCTCTCTAAAAAAAAAAAAAAAAATAGTTGGTGTCCTGTTAACAATATGGGAAGTTGAATGAGATGTATACGGGAACACTCTGTACTATTTTGCAACTTTTACATAGGTCTAAATTACTTCAAAAAAAAGGTTAATATAGTTTTCCAATCTGCTAATGATCAAAATATACGTGATCTGTTCCTATCAGTTTTATTCTCCTAATTTTTTCTCAAATATGTAGTTTTATTCCCTCTCCTCTGCCACCACCTTAATTCACCACCACCCCTACCCTCCCACCTATGTCTATTCCCTCTACTAGTTTTTGACATCCATTCTGTTGTGGCCTTTCTCTCTCTTACTTGCTGTCTCTCCAAAATCTTTCCATGGATTCCCATCGACTGCAGAATAAAGACATCCTTAAGGCCTTAAATGGCCTTGCCCACCCCGCCTCCCACTTCCCCTTTATCTCCCCTGTTTCCTCCTTTAGCTATCCAAGCTCCACCTACATTGGCCTCACCTTGTAAAGTTCTACAGGTGACAGAGATAATGCTCCTCCATGTTGCAAAACTCTACAGAACTCACCTAGAATATGAGGTACACACCCCACCTGCACCCACAATTTACCTAGACCTCAGCCCCCACTAGCTCCGTGTACTCCAAGACCACAGCTTGAGGCATATTCCTTTGTCATACACTTTTTTTTAAAAGATTTTATTTATTTATTTCACAGAGAGAGAGACAGCGAGAGAGGGAACACAAGCAGGGGGAGTGGGAGAGGGAGAAGCAGGCTTCATGTGGAGCAGGGAGCCCGATGCGGGGCTCGATCCCAGAACCCTGGGATCATGGACCTGAGCCAAAGGCAGACACTTAACCCATTGAGACACCCACATGCCCCCTTTGTCATATACTCTTGCAGAATGGCCTACTCCCCCCTCCATAGCTCAATTGATAATTGATCTATCTCAACTGATAGTCACCAACATTTACTGAAGAATTCATTCATTGTAAGACTCCTTTACAAAGCTCTATGACATCTGGTACAAAGTAGATGATCAATAAATATTTTCAGCATGATGAATACAGAAATGAATGAATAAAGACTATATTTAGTATAAAGGACATATCACCTCTATCTGTATAAATTGTTGTGTTATGAAGAGAAGGAGCTTTATCTTGAATAACATGAATTATTGCCATATCTTCCAAGCTTCTTTCAAAAAAATATTTTCTTTTTGCATAGTTTCTTCTTTGCTTTCCTGAAAGATTTTCTACTTAATAGCATGTGGGAAAGCCCATCTCCATAAGTAGAATAATTATGTAAAATGTGTTTTAGAATATTTTTTCTAGTTAAAGCAGAAAAAGAGACTGCTAAATTGGGTATGCAAATTAGATTCAGTATAAGGTACCCTGAAGAAGCCATCCCAGGTCTAAAAAAAATTAGATATTATGAAACACCAGTTGAAATTATCTGCTTCTTCTATTAACTCTACTCTTTAGTGGGGTTAGTATATTACTTCAGTGAGCAAGAGTTGGTTTAGACAGATAGTATCATGTGACCACTGATGAAATTCCCTTCCCCTTCTAATGTGAAAAAATGTGAGTCTTCTAGCAATGAAATAACAATATCTTTTTGCTATCAAATCTTTTAGGAGGTTGTTTTCTTTTGTTTTCATTTTAAGTAATCTCCCCAATGTGGGGCTTGAACTCACAACCCCAGGATCAAAAGCCGCAAGTGCTACCGACTGAGCTAGCTAGGCACCCCGCTATCAAATCCTTTTGAAAAAAAAAAAAGGTTAATATTTACACAGTGGATATAGTTTATTTATTACCAGATGTCTTGGCTGAAAATACATCAGCCTTTCCCACTTCAGCAAATATCCCATGAATCTGAAAAATAAATGTCTCCATGTCTCCATGTCCTTTTCCCTTTCTCATCACACATTTTTTTGCCTGAATTATAGGTATAGCAATAAAACAGACATGTATCTTTCTTAAATTCGATGTATTTTCACATCCTTAAGTCCGTGATTGAAAATCTGAATATTTATTTTGACATAGCAAGTATGATTATTTTAACTGCTTATTAAATATTAAAAATTCAGCTGTGTGTCTACATTAAAAAGAAAAGTGACATGATGCATATACAGGAATCTTTCCAACATTGGCACTTAGGACTGCAAAACACAGTGACAGATAACACTCATATCTCATAATTCTTCAGAAATACTTATCACAGCCATGTTGTACCAACCCAAAGAGGGACTAGATTTGAAACAAGGTCAGAGGCTTAGAATGCCCTAGCAAAATTCACAAAGGAAACGGTCTTAAATAAGGAAGACACCATTTTCCTACACTGGGGGTAAATACTGGATTTGATTCCAAAGTATAATCAACAACATAAAAATCAAAGTAAGGGTGGTGCACACAAGCTAAGAGCTTCGTTTGTTTGCTTGCTTTTCACATAAGAGAAACCAAGAAGAAACCTCTATGTTAGCTCCATAGTGTTCAGGAATTCATGTTTCTATCTTTCTCCGCTGCTCTCTTATAAATGGTTTTCAATTATCAAGGTCATTTCATTGGCCAAGATGTCTACTGGGGCTCTGGACATCAACTCCATATTTAGGAAGAAGAAAGCAGGGTAGAAAGGCCCTCACACCTGAATAGATTCATGTATAAGTACCAAGATATCTCACACTATCTCACTGGTCTTAGAGCCATACCTAGCTGCAAGGGAAGCAGGAAAAAATTATTTAAGGCCTAGAGGACAGTGTTTCAGTTTAAAATCATAACAATTAGGATAGGTGTTGGGGTGAAAAATTAGCAGTCTCTGCATATTTGAATGCAATAATTCTCTTTTTAATTTCTTTCACTAACTAGTACATGAACACAGATCAAAACATTTTTTAAGTATAAAAAGGTTTACACGGTGAAGACTTTTACATCCACCCCTGACTCCATCTGCCGGTTTCCACCCACCATACAACATTTTTATTCCTTTTTTTTTTTATATATCTCCTTCTAGTTTCTTCATGCAAACACATGCAAATGAGATTATCCTTGTTTTCCTTTCAGAACTTATCTCCAAATCAGTACACAGAGTATATCTTCATTCTTCTTCTTTTTTATTTTTCTTATACAGCTGCATAGTATTCCATGGCTGGATCTACCAGGGTTTATTTGATTGGTTCCCATTTTCAAACATTTGATTTGGGTTTTGATCTTTTTCTGTTAACAAACAATGCACATAAATTCTTCCTCATTGTGAATAAGTGACTCTGTAAGAAAAATATATAGAAGCTGGACTGCAGGACAAAGGGCAAATTTGTAATTTTGATAGACATGGCCAAGTTGCTCTCCATGGCTGTCATAATCATTTACACCACTCCCAGCAACATGTGAACATGCCTGTTTTCCCAGAGTCTCTCTTGCAAAATGTGTGTCACATAAACAGTCTTCTCTATTCTGGAGGTTCTTTGTCAGCCTCTCATTGTGTCCTATTATTTATGCCATAAATTCTACATGCAAAGGCAGAGATTTCCAGACTGGACTTCATTATCATAAGAAGTACATGATCAAATGTCTTACACAGTTATAGATGTAATTGGATATTTGAAAGGCATCCACCTATCAGGGACAGCTTGCTCTACTAACGGGATGTTAGACACCATTTCCTTAGCATGCATCCTATTTTCATGAGAAGTGGCAGCAAACTGGAGACCCTTGTCACACACATTAGCCCCCAGGTCCCAATGCATGTGGCCACAACTCAGCAGTTGCCTGTTTCTTTGTAGTTACATAATTTCATTTATACCATTTCTTAGAATGTTCTCTTTCCACCTTTATACATATCCCATTCCTCCTATGTCTTCTGTATTTGTCTAAAAGATACTCTCCTCATCCCCTGAATCCTTAGGTACCTACTCTGGTGCCACTGCTGTAAATTACGGAAGTACAGTCCTGCCTCTATGCTTGGCTTCAGGTTAGGGCTCTGTAACTGACTTGATGGTGCAAGTGACATTGTATTTATTTCTTAAAAACTCCCGATGCCATCCAAGAGGCTTAGATGTTCCAATCCTCAGCACACATAGCTGAAGGAGGGCTCTTCTCCCATATGTCTGACCTACCAAGTGATCCAACTGGCTCCACCTGCCCTTTATGTTATTCTTCAGTGTTCATTTTCACCTCACAACTTACCAGTCTACAGTTCAGCCTTATGTTCTTTGACTTGGCTTCAAAGGCATTAGAAGTCCATCTGGCTTAATATAATTTCTTGAAACAAAGACTGTAAAAATGAACATGAGCTAGTCAAGTGTGAACAGATGATTCTAATAGACAGGCATCTAACATCTTCACAAAGAAGGATTTAACCTTCTTAATTATTACTATAATAGTGCTACATTAGAACATCTGAACAAATTGATGACTTCAAAAAAAATCTGACATCCAAATAGCATGCCTGTTCGTATTACTTATATCATTACACTGACTCTCCTGCAAGGTATGTTGTTAAATTAACAGTTCTCTTCTTTTTAGATGGATTTTATCTGCCTTGTATTATATCTTAATTATATTTGTACTAAATTCTATACTTAAAACTGGAAATCCAATATGAAGGTGATCAAGTTCAAGGAGCAATGAAGTTCACCTGAATATTCATCTCCAAAGAGAGGGAGTTATGGCTGAATATTAAGGTCAAAGTCAACCTTCCTGGCATTTTTAATTCAAATGTGCTTTACAAATGCAATGTGAAAGTTGGGTTTGAATAAGTGCCCATAATCATCTCCTTGGTAAGTCATTGGGGAAAAAAAAAAGAAACCTTCGAATGACTAAAATACGCACAGGACTTATTGAATAAGTGACCCTCATCTAATTGGCATTTGGATCATCTAGCAACTTTATAACTGGAATTTAGCATAACAATCTACCCCAGGGCAACTAATGTGATGGTATTTTGGAACTGAAGTCATTCATTTTCATTTTCTTGTTTCTCTCCATATAATTTATCAAAAAAGAAAAGAAAAGAAAAAGAAAATATCCATAGTCATGTAGTAGTATTATGTATCATTATTATAGTAATGTATATATCATTATTAAATGTCCTGATTTCGATGATTATGCCCTGTGTTTATGTTTTAAAAAGTCCTTGTCCTTTGAATATATACACTGAATTATTTAAGGGTCAAAGGGCATCATGACTACACCTTACCCCCAAATGGTTCAGGAAAAAACATTTTATGTGGATCAATAGCTTGGTAGATAGACAGAAAGATGAAAGAAGTGGGGAAAATGATAAATAATCAGCAAATATGTGTAAAGGATGGAAAGCTGTACCTTGTTTTAATCTTGAAAATTTTCTTTAAGTTTAAAATATATCAAAATAAAAAGTTAGCAAAGAAATATTCACAAAACTACGCATATATACACTCTTGTCTAATGAGGTTGTTTTTATTATCTCTCAGATTTATTTTAGCCTCTCTGAACCCCTATTATATCTGCCGATTAGCTTTTCCTTGCCAGAATATAATCATTATGAACTTGATTAGCTTACTACGGACCAGCTAGCTACAAATAACCTATCAGCCCTCTTGTCTACCAGACCTGGGTCACTCACTTGGGAAAGGACATTAAATATTTGAAACTGTGGAATGACCTTCAATGAACTGCACCCGTAACAAAACCGGGGCATTTACAGAAATACATGAACATCTCCGGGCCCTTAGTTACTTATTAAATGGTTCCCTGGTGACCCACGAGAGTTAATGCTCACCCTTAAATACCCAACTTACACCCAGCAAGTGACTTGGGTGCTGAGAATAGAAAGCAATGGGAGCATTATGTACTTAACAGGCTGCCCATAGACAGCCCAGCGTCCAGCTTGCTTTGCCCTGTAAACACAGCAGCCAACAGACCTGGAGGCCTGACTATCAAGATAATTATCTGAAATCTTCATTTTGTTGTGCCACCATAAACACGGAGCTGCATGCGGGTATTGATCTCACCAACTACAAAACATAACTTGTCCATGATGGGAAAGTTTAAGACGTTTCAAACTTCAAAATCACCGTATTGGTACTTAGAAACAATTTGTTTCAAAAGAATGTGCAAAGGGAGCAATTTCACATAATCGAGGAAAATAATGCTAACTTTTTTTAACAGCAAATAACAAAAAGAGATGTTAAGAAACTACTTATCTGAGAATTTCAGGTGGTTTGTACACTCCAACCTGTTTAATGATTAATCAAGTTTCACAAAAAGGGGATTAAGAATGTGTGCTAGAACAAAATGGGGAACACAAACCACACTTAATAACAGGCGGGTATTGGAACCACCTGTCATTCAGAATTCAGTTTTTCAAAGATGGTATGTTACATAAGAACTCTGACTTTAGTGCTTGATATGGAATCCAAGTTTCTCATATATTTATATATCAGTATATGGGGGAAAGAAAATCAGTGAAACCACATGTTCACTATTAATTCAAGATACGCTAGGAACATACTATGCAGTGTTCACATCATGACTTTTTCTTTGATATTCTGTAAAAATTCTATTTTTCTTCTTTTCCACACTTGTGCAAATTTTTTTTCCTAGTGAAACATTCCCTTAAAGCATGGTAAATGGTTGAGTATTGAGGTTTCTAAGGGAATGTGAGGATGACAAATATCAAAGAAGTGGGAAGTTGTCAGTTCCTGAATCCTACCAAGTTGAAACAGATAAATTTGTTGAATGAATTTCACCATGAATAATACAACTGTAGAAAATCTGAGTGACTGAAAATTAAATTCATTATCATATCCATGTTTCTTAAGATATCGATGATAATGTATTGCAGTTTTGACAAATTTTACAATTTGATAAAACTTTCTAGCACATTCAACCACAAGTTCATTGTATTTCCTATGATTGGATGAAAGTATCCCTGCCGATGTTTCTGATATAGAAGTAATAGAGACCCATTTTCCTTGTCTTTCCTTTATCTTTGCTTTTCTTTATCTTTCCATACCTTTGCTTCTATGTAAAATTAAAATAGAAATGTCTTGCATCTACATAGGCAATTATAATTCTCTTAATACTGATAAAAGAAAACATATATCTTGTTCATTTAGGTAACATCATTTTTAAATATTACAACTACTCACCCATTGGGACACTTCTCATTTTAATTTTTAAATCATTTGCTTTACACAGTTCTCCTCTGAAACATTTACAAGATATTTTAATTACCAATCACAATAGCACAAACTATACTAATTTTAGCAGTCAACTACACAATACTTAAGAATTACTAATTCACCTCTTGGGTATCCTTTTCCTGATATATTCAACATTTATGGGTTAATGTTTGACCAGTTCATTTTATAAGATACTAACAGGGTTAAGACTAGTTCTAAAAATAAAATACATCACACTATACTGCACTCTTGGAATAGGTCAGAGATTACAAATGTGAATGAAAATGGACAATTCCCAGGAAGCTTCCAAAAGAACTGTGAAAGTTATTTATAAGTGGGTGGCTACTCTTATCAGAAGATTAGCATGCAATAATGCCATAAATCTCCTTTTGTTTAGAAATTCACATTACCCTTCTGTTAGTTTCCAATTTAATATTAGCAGGAAAATGCATCTCCCCTCCTAATGAGATTAACCATACAATTTGAAAGGCATTCATACACAAGAGGGCCCAGGTATTTTTATATTTGTTTTCTTTTTATGGAAAGCTATCATTACAATTGTGTTAGATTGCATCGTTGTTCCCAGGACTTCACCCCTCCCTGTGTCTACTTCCTTTTGCAGTTCCTCCCACTAGACCCTTTGATGTTGGGCTTAGCCATGTAACTTGTTCTGGCCAGAGGAATATTAGTGAACATGACATAAGCAAAGACTTCAAAGGTACTTGTGTGGTTGGTCTTGCTTTCTATCACCTTTTCCATCACCCCAAAAAGAGCCTCTTCTAGATGGCTGTTGGCTCCTAAGGCTGGGACACACAAAGAACACATGTTGAGAAGACTAGAGCCCAATCTACAGGAACAGGCAAGGCTTAGAACAAAGCTCGAAGTAAAACCAGCCTGAGCCAAGCCTATATTAGCCAAACCACAGTGAACACACAGGCAGATGGCTGGAAATATTGATCACTGTTTTCTGCCACAGAGATTCTATGGTGGTTTGTTACAAAAATAACTTACTGAGGCAGTGATCAATTATGTAAGCCTTTATCATATCTGTAAGTACACACACACATACACCACCACCACTATAAAATGTGTAACAGTCCTATACATTTACTGATCTAGTTACCTACTTTTGAGACTTTCTGTATTACTGTATGGGCATTAGGCATTGCTGGCTCTAGTCTCTGGAACTTTCCCATCATAAAATATTATCATTCATAGTACCAATGTGACAAGAAGAGATAGAAAAATTGCCACTACTCTGGCTGCATCCATCATTACAGATTTTTACTTTTTCTAGAAAATAGAGTGGCAGGCCCCATCCATTCCACTCTAATCATTTTAGGAAATGGAACACTCATGAACCCTCCTTTAAAATTAGCTGGATGATAAAATCCAGCTGATCAAAAAATGGATCAAATTAAATAATTAATTTAATTAAATCTATTAATTATGAAGAGGAACCTGTGGACCCAATTAGGAAGGAGGGACCAGAGTCTGGCATTTTAGATACACACAAAAGACATGATGGCTAGTTGGATGTTTGGGGTAAAGGGGAGTTAAAAGGATATATGACTCCAAAGATTTTAATTTGGGAAGGAGAAGGAAAATAGTGTGGTAAACTAAGAGAGGGATGAGTGTCATGGATCATAAAGGAAGGATAGATCATGAAGAATCATGAGTTGATTGTGGGTTGTTGAGTTTGGAAAGTTTGCAGGGCAGCAAAGTGGAGATGTACAGCAGGCAACCGGGAAATAGGTTTGGCATGATCAGGATTATAGACTGAGACTAGGTGACAGTCCACATGCCAGGAGTAGATGAGGTCATCCAAGAACAAATACACAAATACAAAGAGGCCCAGTATAAGCCTTGGAAGGATGCAGTGAAGGCTGAGCCTGCTCATCTCTGAAAGCCACCACCTGCATGTTAAAAAATATCACTAAAACTACAACAACAAAAAAGAAAAGTAGAGGGGAGGAAAAAAAACCTTCATTTTGATGCAAATGTCATAATCCTATTCCAGAAGAAAGTGGAATGGCACGTTATGGCAGAACGACATGAAACAAAAGGATTTTAAAGGTTTTTCAAGTAAGGATTCACAGACAAAATTGTGATAGACAGATATTCTCATTCATGCAGCAATTTAGGACTTAGAATACTTGCAAATCCTCCTTTTAAATTAGCTGGAGGACAAAACCCAGCTAACCCAATAACCAAAAAGTGAATCAAATTAAAGAAGTCACAAATGGAGAGTCTGAGACAAAATAAGTACTGTTGAAAATGGAATCCATTTAATTAATGCTTTAATTCTCTTTTTGTAATAAGTAATGGTCACTGATTAATAAAATAATTCAAAGAACTAGAATCTACTAGTGTCCCCTCTCTTCCAGCTATACCAGATAAACATTTTCATTAATGTCATATATATTTGTCTATATGCAAATACAAACAAGGATATTCTTACTAATTTCCTTTATTATACATTTTCTGGACATAAATATTTTACTGATCAGCATATTTAGAGATCTTTCTACATCAATAGAAAGATGTATTCTTCCTTCCCCTCCTTTTCCCCTGCTTCAGCTTAGCTGCGAAGTATTTCATTGTAGCAATGTCCTGTAATTTATTCAACCAGTCCCCTGTTGATGGATACTCAAGTTGTTTCCAAGGTAGGCTTTTACAAGCAACTCTGAAATAAATAACCTTGTACATATATCATTTTGTGCATGTACAGATGTACATAAAAAGATAAATACCCAGAAGAGAAATTACTGAGTCAAAAGATAAAATGCATTTATAATTCTGGTAGATATTACTAAATAGCCCTCCATAAGAGTGATGCTTAATTGTCCTTTTCCCAGCAATGCCTGATAAGGCCTATTTCCCCACAACCTCACGTTTAGAAGATGTTGGCAGACTTTTAGATGCTTGACAAACTGATAGGTAATAAATGGAAACTCAGTGTGGTTATAATATGCATTTCTACTATTATAAATGGGTTTGGGTTTCCCTTTTTATAACTAAGCACAATACATTTCCCATTTTAGTTGGATTGTTGATTTTCTGATGGAATTAGTTTTAAAGAATTTCAGGAATTATTACCACAGAGTATCATGGCATGGTAGAAGCCTTAAAAACACAAAAATAATATTATAACTAATGCATTTAGGGGATGAGATAGTAAAGTGAGAAGAAAGCATGCATAATCTAACTTCTTCATCTTTCAGAGCAAGAATTAAATATAGTTAAAGGGCAAAATTTTAGTTACATAATTAATGACTTGAACTTCAAATTTTTTATAATCACTATTTTTTTCTTAACTTTGGAGGGATCCTTTAGCAACAACATATCCTGTAGTGAAACTGTTATCTGGAGTTCAGCTTTTCAGAATATACTCAGTTTATTTTTTTATGCTTAATTTCAAGTAAAATTAAATCTAAAATGTTCATTGAATTAGTATGCATGATATGTTACAGTTGTTCCAAAAGTATTCATATTTATGCATTATCTTTCTATATGGACAGATGCATAGACTGGTATCTGAAATTATAGTCTTTAAAAGTTAACAGTGTGTGTTTCTAGGTGAAAGTATCTGGATAATTTTAATTTTATTCATTTATAATCTCTTTATTACCTCAAATTCTATAATGATTATGTATCATTATTACAAAGAAAGACATTATTTTAAAACTAGAAATATTCAGAATTTTCAAGATAATATATGCAGGGGTGCCTGGGGGCTCAGTTGCTTAAGTGCCTGCCTTCAGCTCAGGTCATGATCCAGGGTCCTGGGATGGAGCCCCGCATTGGGCTCCCTGCTCAGCGGAGAGCCTTCTTCTCCCTCTCCCTCTCCCTCTCCCCCTGCTTGTGCTCTCTCTCTCTCACTCTTGCTCTCTATCCAAATAAACAATTTAAAAAAATGAAATCTTAAAAAAAAAAAGATAATATATGCAAAGAATACAATTTACAGTCAAGCCAAGAAAACTGTTTTCCTTCTTGGAAAGATAAAGGCAAAAGAGTATTATTTGGGGTTATTCTAATAATAAACTAGTTAAAGATATCAAGAGTCAACTTTTATCTCTGTGGCTGCAAATAAAACAACTCTGAATGTTGATGAGACTCAATTTGAGAAATTCTTTCCTATATTTTAAAATCATACAAGGATCTGTGGGCTGTGAAACAAAAGGTGCAAATGTATTTAAATAGGGCCAATTTATAATTAATTACCTCTTTGCACATACCATTACCCGATTAGAGCATGCAAATTTTACTTCAAGGGTGTTACGTGTTCACACCCTGATGTGCCTGGCGATTGACAGTCATATCTGACATTCTGCATTAAAGAGTCGCTTTGAATAAGTCAAAGCTTGTTTTGCTTTATTTTATTTAAAGGCCCCGTCTGTAAGTCATGTTTACAAAAACTAAAAAGTTCTCTTCTGTAATTAATTTCAACTTTGATACTGGGCTATCAAAACATGCCTGGATTAATTTAACACTGATTGGCATGGCCTCAAAAAGTTCTTTATATGTTTGTTTTATGTAGTTACCTAAAGATTCAATTGGATTGGAAAAAATTTAAACATGGTATATTATTGTAGAGAGGAGAGTTTTAAACAACCTGAACTTGAATTGTACTTCACAGCTACTAAATGCTTTTAAAAATATTTCATTTCTATCTAGCAATTTTGAGTTAGACAAAAAATCATTTGTGTTTTGTTTTGTTTTTTCCATTTTACATAGGCTGCTCAGGGAGGCTTAAAATATTTACTAAAAGTCACATATCTAGTTTAATGAAGAATGAGGACTGGAACCCTAAAGGCTATATAGTTCATATCCTTCTCTACAATGGATGAAGCGAGATATATTTGTTATCTGTCACCACAATAATGCTGTGTAACAAACAACTACAAAACTTCAATGGCATGTACTAAATATTTAACTTTGCTGATGAGCATATGGTTCTGAACAATGGATCTGCTGATCTGGACCAGCCTCTGCTGAACTGGGCTTGTCTCTTTCATGCACATCTGGTCAACTATCAAGTCAAGGGAAAGTGGGATGGTCTAGCATGACTCATCTCTGCTCCATGTGGTCTTTCATCTTCTATCAGGCTAGCTTAAGCTTGTTCTCTTGACAGAGGATGAAGCAGAAGCACAAAAGACCTCTTCGGGTCTAGGCTCAGGTAACATACATCATCACTTATAACATCCTATTGGACAAAGAAAGTCACAATGTCAGCCTGAATCCGAAGGGTAAGGAAATAGTCCACCTTCTGATGGGAAGATCCACAGAGTGAAATTACAAAGAGGCATAGATAGCAGGAAGCGAAAACCTGGGGCCACTAGTCCTCCACACCAGACATGCAACAGTATATCTACTGCACACCAGGCTCACATGGTTTATTTCCCCCAGAATTGCTAGTACTGTATAGCTTTTGACCTATGGCTCAGAATAATATGAGGCAAACTCTGTGAATGCTATTGCTTTTATGTCTTATCGAGATGTCAGTGTGGTCATCACTCACTAAAAGAAGACATGGCATGGTCTTCTATACAGGGACACTAAGGACACATTGGAGAAATCTCTTAAGTGTCAGTATCAATGGCAGCTATATTAGGAGCTCTGGTAGCCAGGAGACTTCTGAACAGCAGGTCTGTTTTCTCTAATCAACACTGAGAATCTTCATATGTGCTGATAGGAAACTCAGAGCCAAACTGTAACTCTCTTTGAATAATTAGGCAAGCCTTTCAATGCTCTACCTCTGGTGTCATCTTTTTTCTCATAGCCTCATTTTCCCTTTGCTCTAACTTATTTCTTCCTTAAAAATGAACATTTACTAATGAAAATTACATTTATTTTCCGGCTACAAAAATAATATAAAGTCATGACAAAAAAATCTGAATATACAGAATGGCATAAGAAAGAAAACAAATTTCACCCATGTTCCTACGAGCACCCAGAGCAAAGCACTGCTAACCTTCTGATATATTGTTATGGATTGATTGTGTCCCCTCCCCCCAAATTCACATATGGAAACCTTAATCACTAATAGGATGGTATTCGGAAATGGGGCGTTTGGAGGGTAACTAGGTCATGAGGGTGGAGCCTTATAAAAAGAGACAGGAGAGACCTTGCTTATTTACCCTTTCTTCCTCTGCCATATAAGGACACAAGAAGACAGCCATAAACCAAGGAAGAGAGCATTCACCAATAACCCAACCATGCTAGCACCCTGATTTCAGACTCCCAGCATCCAGAACTGTAAGAAAAAAATGCTTGTGTTTAAGCCTATGGGATTCTTGTTATAGCAGCCCAAACTGACTAGTTTCTTCTAGTCTTTTCTTTTTCTTGTTTTTATACACACACACACTTACATATTATTGGTATGTATACAAAATTCAAAATTAATGTCC